TTTATTTATTTGACAGAGAGAGACACAGCGAGAGAGGGAATACAAGCAGGGGGAATGGGAGAGGGAGAAGCAGGCTTCCTGCGGGGCAGGGAGCCCGATGTAGGGCTCGATCCCAGGACCCTGGGATCATGACCCGAGCCGAAGGCAGACGCTTAACGACTGAGCCACCCAGGCGCCCCTCTAGCACAGTTCTTAAAGCTTATCTAATTTGGGGGATAATTTCATATGGCCTGTATGGACTTAGTAATTTATTGTTCCAAAACATGCTTCCCCCCGCCCCCTTAAGCTGTTAATCCTAGGTATGTACTGAAGAACTGGATGGCAGAATCCGCAGTGCGAAAAGCAGAAAGGAATGATTTTTCAGAGGTAAGATGTTTGAGGCTTCTGGCTTTATTTTTATTAACTTTAAATGTATCATATTTTAAGCACACTTATTTTGTTTGTAGACATGCTAAACTAGACCATTGCCAGTACCAGCTTCCCAGAATTCTTGCTGCCTGGTCTCCCTTTTTTTTTGTTTTTCAGTGAATCATTTTTTTTTCATAGTTTCTAATTTATTCTTTAATGGATTTAAAATTTTAAAGCTTCATTTATATCCCATATCTATATTATTCAGATTTCTGAGGGTCTGATTCTGCTGTTTATTGCTTATGTTTTGGACTTCTGGATTTCAGTCTCTGAGATCCAGTGAAGCCTGATTTAAGGGTGCATCTCTGCAGAGGGAATTAGCTTTTTGCTTCTAGCAGGTGTCCATGGCACTAGCCACATGGGTCCACTTAAATTAATCCTGACAGCAGTGAAGTTGGGATGAACTAAGTCTCCATGCATCTGCCTGGATGAATCCCACATATAATGTTAAGCAAACAAGCAAGTGGCAAAGGCATATAATAAGCACCACTTAAATACAGTGTAACATGTGCAAAATTATACACCACATAGGGATGCATGCATATATAATGAAAGTAACAAAATGAATAAAGATGAGAAACATCATCTTCGGACAGTGGTTACTTTGAGGTAAGGAAGAAATTCATACAGGGCTCTAATCATATTGGAAGTATCTGATTTCTGAAGCTGAGTGGAGGATACACGGGTGTTCATTGTATTGTTTTGCATACCTTCTTGTATGCTTCAAATACTTCATAATCAATTATTTAAAATGCAATGCACATAATATATTTTTTAGAAGAGGACTGGCCTTGGCACTCGTGTTGTCGCTGTCCTGCACTGGAGTGGATGTTATCGATGCTGTGGCTCTTTTTCTCTTGCGCTGGTCCCACCTCAGAATCATTCTCACCACAGCATGTATGTGGTCACAACCAAGTGATCAGAGCTGGCACAAGAGAGAAACTATTTTTGCTATTTTTTTTTTTAAAGATTTATTTATTTATTTTAGAGAGAGCACCAGAGAGCATGCGTGAGTGGGGGGAGGGGCAGAGGGAGAGGGAGAGAGAGAATCTCAAGCAGACTCCCCACTGAGCGCGGAGCCCCATGTGGGGCTCGATCTCACAACCCTGAGATCATGACCTGAGCCGAAATCAAGAGTGGGACACTTAACTGACTGAGCCACCTAGGCGCCCCCTATTTTTGTTATTTCTAATTTGGGACTTGCATTAACTTTTTATTTCAGTAGTTTCATTAGCCTGACAAACCTGGGTTTTCACTTTAGAAAATAAAACATTTTAAAATGTAATCTTTTATGGTATTAAAGAAAGACAAAGAGAAGGGAGAGAGCTCAGTATTTGTCTTTTTTTTTTTTTTTTTTTAAAGATTTTATTTATTTATTTGAGACAGAGAGAATGAGAGAGAGCATGAGAGGGGGGAGGGTCAGAGGGAGAAGCAG